TAGCTTAATTTAAGGCGAAGTTCATTAGCTTGTCTAGATTTTCTCTAGAGTTGTGGCAACAAAGGAGCGTCATTGTATTGAATTCAAGAGAAGGTTGTGTGATGATATTTGGAAAAAGGTTACTGGTAGTATGCATAGGAACCATTACACACTTGTAGAGGCGGCGACTCACATGGAGGCCATTGTTTTAGATGTCAGTCAGAATAGGGAGGAGGCCATATTGGTGATCTTTACTATTCGAGAGAACATTAGGCCTAGTAAGAGACAGACGGAGCGGGATCTCAGTCTCAGTTACAATTTCTGCCTAGATATTTTCAGACTTGTCCCTTGGGAGGTCCAATTAGAGGTAGACTTCGAGCTAGTCAAAGAGTAGAGAGTCAACCATTTGTTCCAGTTATGATCAATTGGGCCACGTCGAACTTCTTGGCCCTCAACGTGAGATTTCTTTGGGTGTTTCAGAATCCAGTCGAACTCAGTTTCATTAGTCTAAATAGGGACAAAGACAATGTCGATAATAGACACGAACATGCCAAGCTTCGAGGGTCTTACAGGGTTGACTTCTCAGTCAGTACGGTTGTACCAACCTAGTGATGAGCCCTTTTGACCATAGATCGGCAAAGGGATCCTTGTGATTTTGTTGTTAATTGGTGTGTTGTTAGATGCAGGTGCATCATGTTTAATTATGCTTCATACTTTTATTTTGTTGCTAGTCTTAGAGATGGACTTGTTTGAAGAACCTCTCTTGATGATAGAAATTAAATGTTAAAATGATAATTGTTGTAATCATGATTTGACCTTGCATGCTTTGATAAAGGTTGTTAAACATTTGAGCTTGTATAGCTTACTTGAGTTATAGTTGACCTATTCGGTCTCTGTGGATTGGTGTAAGGTTTGGTTGCCATTTAGGCACGTGTCTATCATTGGGGGTTGAGTTGGATAGGTGAGCTGATGTGAATTGAGTTAGTCTTGAAGTGAGGGCCTTACATGTATTTAATTGTAAAGAGTCTGGTAGGGGCTTGGGGTAATGTCGTGGGAAATGCAATGAACTCTACATCAGAGTAGATTACTTGTTGTGTATATTAGTAAATGGTGTGTAAGGAAGATAGTGGGCCTTTGACTTTGGATTTGTTGTTTGTCGAAGAGCTTAACGAGAACACACTCGAAAGTATTGGGTCTTAGGCAAGGAGGCATGAGATTGGGGTATGTTTGTGTTACTTACTGTAACGCCCCAAAATAATAACGACAAGCCATCTTGAGATAATCAAAAGAAAACGTAACATGCAAAATAATAACCTTTCATATATATTCTTTTACCATACAATAGATGACATATGCGAATATACATTTATAAATCTTAGATCCTAAATCTATAGCATATGCCACATATGAGTGAGTAAAATAAAAGGTTATGTAGATAAGTTAATGCCGTAATGACTACATCTTTCCAAGATAATGCTTAGGTACAACAAAAGTGAGTTCAACTCAATACAGTTACAGCTTAAGGCTTGTACAAAAATAATTAAATCAAAAGAAGACAAAGAAGCTCTTGGCTCAAAATTCTCCCAAGCAATGTCCTTGGTGGATGCATGTCATCAGCACCTGAAAGTTGTTTTCCATATAGGGTGACCTAAAGCCCAGTAGAGATATTTAAACACAGTGTATGAAGCTTAACAAAATCATACGGTGAATCCAATATGATGCCATGCCTTTTTGCAAAAACATTGCACTTTTCCATCTCAAAACAATGCCATGCCTATATCAATAAATTTTAATTCATGAAAATACACTTTTATATCAGAAAACAGGGCAGTGGATACAAATCACTAGGAATCTCTAGGTATATGTCTGCCAATAGGCTACGCAAGCATAACCAAAGCCATTTTACTGGTACTAATAGGAAGGATCGGCACCTAACCGCACAGGTTTTTAGAATTTCACCAAGGACACACATGCCAACATAATAACTACAACCACACCCTCTAACCAAATTCACCAAGGTATACACCTTTTTTTTTTCTTCTAAAAAACAGTACATTTTCAATGTTAAAGTAAGAAGCAATGCTTGATGCAAGATGTCTGAGAAATTAGTTTCAATTTAACCCAATCCTCATGCTACAACAATCAAAATTATCCTCCACCGATAGCCCAATACAGATATTTCTACTCAATGATAATTTTTCCAACAGTAGATAAAATCTCAAAGTTTCAAAATGGGACTGATAATAAATATCCAACTCCACTCTCATCATCAACAGATACCATTTTCCATATCTTTTCAAAATCCAACACTTTTTCCTTTTCTTTTATAACCCAAAATCAATGATTTTTTTTGACAAAACCTTCTTTATTTTCAAAATCACTTTTGAAGAAGGAATTTCCAACACAATCCAACAATATATATGCATCCGCAATCCTTCTGAAGAATTTATTTGAAAAACCCCTTTTTTACTTTTCAGCAACAAACCCTTGGTTTAACCCAAAACACCCAAATCATTAAAACACTTTTCAAAGAGCAAATAACTAAGCTAATAATCATACGAGAGGTTGAAGAAATCCCTACCTTAAGAGTAGATAAGGGAGAGAGCATGGTGAAACTTTGACAGAGCCAAAAATGAGATCCTCTCTAATTAGAATGAACCTTTCGACGAGCTCTACCTTTTTCTCAAAAGAGCAATGGTAGAGAAATCAATGGATGATGGAGTATTTAAGGTTTTAAGTAAGAACTAGAGAGGGAAAGTGAAGAAATTAGGATTTGGAAGGTTTTAGAGAGAGAGAGATAGTGAGAGAGAGGAAATGAAAAAGTAATTAAAAAACCCCTTTTCCCGAATTGATATACGTGTAGACCGCTTAAGCAACCAAAACATCGCTCTAGTGTTAGAGACAATAAGTGAAACCACTTGAGCAACCAAAACACGGTTCGAGTGCACAATGACTCATTCCCATAAATTTTGCAGTTTGAAGAAGACTGCTCGAGCGCAAGAAATATCGCTCGAGTGAAGATACCCTACTCCTAGAACTTTTGCAGACTTGCAAAATATTTGCTATCTCAAAGACCGCTCGAGTGACCAAAACACCGCTCAAGCGAACAAGAAAAGAACTGAACAACAACTTTTTTGTAAAACTAACTCCTAACCTATTTCAAACACGACCAACAATTCAGCTCAACTACCAATAAGATGATAAAGGACAAACAACAATTAAAGACACAAAATCCCGAATCTGAAAGCATGAAATGGGTTGGGTCTAAACTGGAACCGTTATAATCTTTCCCCCTTAAGAAATTTCGTTCTCGAAATTTAAATCAAACTAATAACCATCAGATTTTAATTCTATCCGCCGTCCACATTAGTAACACTGATAAAATAGAACTCTCCAACACCAAATATAAAAATTCAGATTCCCAAAACATTTATCATGTTTACATATTACAACATGAATGAAATTTACAATGTAAGCCTCAAATATCTACAAATAGGTCCAGATACTTCTCACAAACTTCCACCTCACATTCCCAAGCTGCTTCTTCGATCGTCTTGCCTCTCAAGACTTGATCCCAAGTATCTAGCACCTGAACTAGTCTCTCTTCATACGAGGCATTCTCATCTACCTCTAACTCGGTCCAATCTAGCACGTGTAAATGATCAGGCTCGTACTTCCGGAGCATACAAATATAAAACACATCATGAACCCCTGAAAGCTGGGGCGGCAAGGCCAAATGATAAGTTACTTCCCTAATGTGATCTAAAATCTCAAAAGACCCAATAAATCTAGGAGACAACTTACCGCTCTTTCTAAATCTCATCAAACCCCACCTTGGTGATATTTTTAGAGACACGTGATCCCTCACCTCAAAAGATAGAGGCCTCCTCTTATGGTCGACATAGCTCTTCTGGCCATTTTGAGCTGAAACCAATCTCCTACAAATAAGCGCAATCTTTTCTGTCGTTTCCTGGACTAACTCTGGACCTAACATAGGTGTATCACCTGCCTCAGCTCAACACACAGGAAATCTATACAGTCGGTTATATAACGCCTCAAAAGGTACCACACCAATACTTGCCCGAAAACTATTATTGTAGGTAAATTCCACCAAGGGCAAATGCTTCTCCCACGACCCCTTAAAATTGAGAATGCAAGTCTAAAGCATGTCCTCTAAAATCTTAATGGTGCGTTCAGACTGCCCATTAGTTTGAGGATGATAGGTGATACTAAAGGTCAACATAGTGCCCAAGGCACCCTGTAGGCTTTACCACAACCGAATTGTAAAACATGGATCCCTATCCGAAACAATAGTCACTAGAAACCAATGAAATCACACTATATCTCTAACATATAGATCGGCAAGGTAGTCTACTGAGTCACTCATGCGCATGGGTACAAAGTATGTAGATTTGGCTGACCGACTGCGAACCATACGACGTCATTACCCTGTTGAGTCCTCAGAAGACCTACAACAAAATCCATCGTGACATGCTCTCACTTTCACTCGGCTATAGATAAGGATTGCAACAAACCCGCTTGTCGCTGATGCTCGGCTTTCACATGTTGACAAGTAAAGCACCTTGAAACAAACAAGGCTACATCTTTCTTTATCCCCCTCCACCAAAACTGGTGGCTAAGGTTGTGATACATCTTTGTGCCTTCCGGGTATACCGCAAGGCGTGAATAATGAAACTCTCAGAGTACTTCTTTTGTCATGACCCGAACCTGCCCCTATGGATTAGGATTATAACCAACCAGTAATCATAAGATTGCCTACGACCTCAAATAGAAATCAAATCATGATTAATAATAGGGGGCCAAAAGCGGAAGCAAAATGTAAAGATTGTCCAATGAGCTGTGTATATATGGTAAGATAAAAACCTTTCACACATATTTAATAACTCACACATCGCATACATATGTCATTTACACATGTCTAGGATCATTCAGACTTGTTATGTAATAAACAAAAACACTAAAAATGGTTGTATCAAAAAGCAAGGTTTACACAAACTTGGTCACATGTGACCACAAAAGAACACTAAAAGGAAATCAAAAGCCTCATATGTGAGGCAACCTTGGTTGACTTCAAAAACTTGGTACTCCTTCACATTTACACTAGGGTTGGGCTGGACTTCCCACTGCTCACCTACATACATATAAATAAAGAGTGAGCTAACGCCTAGTGAATAATATCAGAGTAAAGAGGTTAATGAGAGATCCGTGTTTAAATAAATCATACTAGTACTTAATACATATGGAACGCAATTCCCATTCATAACGTACTTAAACAAATCTTAATGGAATGACCTCGGATCCAATCTATTACACGTAGTACACGAAGAGACAAAAAGACCTTAGATCCAAACATTTTGCATATCCGATCATAACATGTGTACTAAATGACCTCGGGTCTAATATCTCCATATTCTTATGTATGCGCATATTTACGCTTAAGAACATGTTCACATTTAATGGATCCATGCACAATTGACCATCTGGTCCTTCACATCATATGTACAGAATGACCTTAGGTCCATTGTTTCCAAATTCATATTCACGCTTGCGTCTATAATCCTGATCATGTTTATATTCGTATTCACATCCAAAATGACCTTTGGTCCAATCATTTCCTTGTTCTAAATGGCCTTTGGTCCATTTAACAATCGTACAAAATGACCATTGGTTCGATTCATATGTAAGATGACCTTAGGTCTATCTTGTTAAATATTCTAAACGGCCTTAGGCCCATTCCATGTCCTTCTCAAATATACCAATTGACCTCGGGCCTATTTCATCTTTTCATCAAACATACCGAATGACCTTAGGCCCATTATGTATTCATACAAAACGACCTTTGATCCAATCTTATAATTTCGTGTTTATCAATGATGTTTCAAGTCTTTTATAACTCGGATAGGTAGAATACTCATTCGTAATACAAATTCATGAATTCGGAAAACTTACCGCATGGGTAGTATTTAGAAAATAACATACATGAAAATATCTTTACTAAGATATTACTCACAATGTTCAGATGGTTGATTCGTCCTCGTGATTGACCCTACACAATTCATAGCACATACGAAATTGGGTCACAATACAATTCAATTCGTTCTCAAACTTGTTTATCTTTCTTAGGCTTTTTTTTTTTTTTTAAAACTCTTTAGTTCATTTAGGATGCTCAATGTATGCTTAAGAATGCTTAGAAATGAAAAGGAACGAAAATCAAAACTTAAAATAACTTGTCTAAGTTTCCTGAAACAGGGCACTTCACTTGAGCACAACATTGGTTGCTCGAGTGAACCCCTTGGTTTGCAAAAGTACTGGAGGCTCTCATTTTATGCTCGAGCCAACTTCTTGGTCGCTCAAGCCAAGACTGAAAATAAAGGTTGGTCGCTCGAGCCAACCTCCAATATCTGTAAAAGTACTGGGAACTCAAAATGTACGCTCGAGTGACACTTTCATTGCTTGAGCGAACTGCTTGAATTCTGGAATTTTCAAAATTCTGTTTGAGCTTCAAACACAACTCCAAGGCTCCAAATTCATGCATGACTTACTTAACTATGCAAGAACACTTCCAAACACATATATCTGAAGGTAGTTTCTACCCATTGTTCAAAATTCCATGAATTCATCAAAATTCTAACCAAAAACTTCATGAATTTGTCAAAATGAAACTCAAAACTTTTATTCTTATTTAATCATCTTCAAAACATGAAACTAAGTCTCATAACTCCATGATTCATGAATTCATGTGCTAAATAACTCCCAATTTATCATGATTATCATGTTTCATGCTCAAATATTAGGAATTATAACAAATATACATATGCATGCATATATTGATCCTAATCTCCACATATTCAACTCAATTCTTGCATTTATTTACATATTCTTTTTGAATTCACATAATTATGGACTTAAACTTGTGAATTAGAGTTCAAATGCTTACTTGGAGCTTTGATTATCACTTGTATTAGTAAATTCTTGAGCTATTCTTCACAATTCTTAATTTCATTAAGTAAAACTTCAAAGATGATCTCACTGTCTCTCTAGAATGGCTCACTCTCTCTCTCTCTGAACTTCTCTTGGTTGATTTTTGAGCTAAAAAATGAGGTTATTCTCATGTCTCTACATATATATACTCTTGTTTAATTTAACTTAATTAATCATGCTTAAGGTTAGTTAATTACACTTAATTTAATCAATTTAATCTAATTAATTTGATCCAAAACACTGTTTAATCAAATTTCACCGCAAGCTCTAAAAATGATGCTAATCTTAATGGTACGGTCAATTTTGGTTTCTGTTGCCTCTACGACCCTCAATTTCAGTTAATTAAAGAATACTAAACATATTTTCCTACGATGAACATATATGAATTCAAAAGTGCGTATAATCTCATGCTTAGCATCCAAAATCATATTAAGCACATAATCACAAGTATAATTAAAGGTGAATAGCATAACACAAAATGAGGTTATCATATGGTTTCCCCCTTTAGGAAGTTTGGTCCTCCAAACTTATGTTACCTTCCGTTGGAAACAAATATGGGTAGTGTTGTTGCATCTTATCCTCTTTCTCCTGCATTGCATCCCTTCCATAATGTTCTTTCCATTCCACTTTCACCATTGGGATGGATTTGTTTCTCAGTTGTTTTACTTTCCAGTCAATGATTTGTTCTGGCCATTCTTTATTTTCCATATTTTCATCGAGAGCTATCTGGTAGTAGTCTATCACATGAAATGGATCCCAGAGGTAGCCTTTCAACATTGAGACATAGAACACATACTGCATTTGTTCCATACCCAGTGGCAAAGCAATTCCATAGACAACTGGACTGAGCCTCTCAAGTATTTGAAATGGCCCAATGTAACAAGGTGATAACTTACCCTTCTTGCCAAATCTCGACTGGCCCTTCATTGGGATTACATGGATGAATACATGGTCGCCAACTTCATATTCAAGTGGCCTTTTTCTAACATTGGCATAGCTTTTTTGTCTGCTCTATGCTGTCTTGAGCCTTTGTTGAATAACTTTGATCTTTTTAGTGGTGGTTTACACCATTTCAGGCCCAAACAAGACTCTATCCCTGACTTCTGTCCAATAAACCAGTGATCTACACTTTCTGCCATATAAGGCTTTAAACGGTGCCATGCCAATGCTAGAGTGGAAGCTATTATTATAGCAAACTCCGCCAATGGTAAGTAATCTTTCCAACTCCCTTGAATATCTAAGGCATACATTCGAAGCATATCTTCTAGAGTCTGTATGGTTCGTTTTGATTGTCCATCAGTTTATGGATGGAATGTAATACTAAATCTGAGTTCTATCCCCATTGCCGCTTGAAGGCTTTTCTAGAATCTAGATATAAATTTTGGATCTCTATCCGACACATGGATACCAGCACTCCATGTAAATAGACAATTTCATCAACATAGATAGTGGCAAGTTTATAAGCGTCATTAGTCTTTACGGGAATAAAATGTGTAGATTTAATCTATCTATCAACTATAACCCAAATAGAGTTCATACCTTTAGGTGTTCGAGGTAGACTAACAACAAAGTCCATGGTTATGTGCTCCTACTTTCATTCCGGAATAGGGAGAGGTTGAAGTAGTCCTGCCAGCTTTTGATGTTTGGCTTTAACTTGCTGGCATTGAAGACAGTTAGACACATATTCTGCAATTTCCCATTTCATATTAGGCCACCATTAGCTTTGTTTCAAATCCCGATACATTTTGTTGTTGTCTGGATGCATTGCAAACATTGACTTGTGAGCTTCATCCAAAATTCTCTTCTTTAAATCAGAGATGTTCGGAATACGCAATCTGTTTTGGAATTTCAACACTTCATTCTCCACACTGAACCCTGACTTCAAATTCACTTCAATTTCATCAATCAACTTCTTGAGGAATTCATCCTCTTTTTGGCTCAGCTTAACTTCATTAATTATTGTTGGTTGGGCTGCAATGGCGGCTACCAACCCACTTTGCTCGTGTAACAGTCAATCTCTGACTTCTCAAAGTCTTGCAAGATTTCATTCTGTTCTATAAGTAGGCAAGCCAAGTTCCGCGTTAATTTTATACTCAAGGCATCAGCAACTGTATTGGCTTTCCTTGGGTGATACTGAATTTGGTGGTCATAATCTTTTATTAGCTCAAGCCATCTTCTCTGCAGCATATTTAACTCCTTTTGAGTAAAGAAGTACTTTAGGCTTTTGTGATCCATGTAAACTTCACATTTTCACTCCATACAGGTAATGCCGCTAGATTTTCAAAGAACTGCGGCCAATTCTAAGTCATGTGTTGGGAAATTCTTTTCATGTGGTCTCAATTGTCGGGAGGCATAAGCAATTATGCTTCTGTTCTGCATTAACACACAACCCCAACCCTTGTAAGATGCATCTTTAAAAATCACAAAATTTTATGTACCTGAAGGTAATTTCAACACTGGTGCAATAGTCAATCTTGTTTTTAGTTCTTGAAAGGCAGATTCTCTTTCATCACTCCATTCAAACGGTTGTCTGTTATAAGTTGGGTAAGAGGTACAACTATTTTTGAAAAATCTTTCACAAACCGTTTGTAGTACCCAGCTAAACCCATGAAACTGCAGACTTCCGTTACATTTGTTGGTGTAGGCCAGTTCACAATTGCCTCTATCTTCTGTAGGTCTACTGAAATCCCATCTCTGTTGATAACGTGGCCTAAAAACACAACCTCATCTAGCCAGAATTCACATTTCTTTAATTTGGCATACAACTTCTTTTCTCTAAGGGTTTGTAAAACAGTTCTCAAATGTTGCTTATGATCAATTCTACTCTTCGAGTATATCAAGATGTCATCAATAAAGACTAAAACAAACTCATCAAAATAAGACGTAAAAATTCAATTCATAAGATCCATGAAAGCCGCATGTGCATTAGTTACTCCAAAGGCATAACAAGAAATTCGTAGTGTCTGTATCTTGTCCAAAATGTGGTCATCTTCTAGTTTCACCTTTAATTGGTGATACCCAGATCTCAGATCAATTTTTGAAAACACTTATGATCCTTGCAACTGATCAAACAAATTGACAATATGGGGAAAAGGGTATTTATTTTTTATTGTTACCTTGTTCAATTCTCGATACTCAATGCACATACATAAAGTCACACCTTTCTTTTTTACAAATAAAACCGATGCGCCCCATGGTGAAGTACTCGGGCAAATAAACCCGTTTTTCAAGCAAGTCTTGCAACTATTTTTTTAATTCTTTCATTTCAATGGTAGACATTTTGTAGGGAATTTTTTAGATAGGCTTGGTGCCGGGTGCAACATCAATAGTAAATTATGTTTCTCTGTCAACCAATTCTCCCAGCAATTCATTTGGGAATACATCCAAAAATTCTCTAACAACAGGAATACTTTCTAATTCAACATTCACAGATTGCTTAGTCAAGATACTGCACAAGTAACCCTGACACCCCTTCCTAAGCAGTTTACATGCTTTCAGTGCTGATATTAGATGAGGTGAAGGCATTACACCATTACCAACAAACACAAACTCATCATGTCTTCGCGGTCTTAACAAAACCCGTTTTGTTGCACAGTCAATAGTAGCACAGTACTTAGACAACCAGTCTATTCCCATAATCACATCAAAATGTCTAATGTCCACATATAAAGTAGCATTGCCAATACGCATATCACATATACGATACACAGACATAAATAACACGGATTCCCTAGATGGAGTAGATACACATAGTAGATATGAAAATGACTCAGAGGTCTATTCAATCTAGATACAAATGTAGTGGACACAAAAGAATATGTGGATCCAGAATCAACTAACAAAAAAGCATCTTGATTACATGTAGAGATAGTACCTAAGCAAACAACTTTAGTATTCCGTATATCACTTGGAACGAGTGCAAAGACTCTCCCTTGTCTCATTGTGTCTCTGGTAGTAGTAGGCCTTGTGGTATTCCCCAATTTTGGGATGGATCCAGTCAAGCTAGCAGCTAGTTTTCCACTTCATTGTTGTTTAGTTTGGGTGCAATCCCTTGCTATATTCCCCATTTTACTACATTTAAAGCAAGCCCTAGAAATACGGTAACAAACCCCACGATGTTTCTTACACACTGATTACATGTTGGTGTCGTATCTCTAGTGGAACTCAAAGTGCTCGAGGATCCCGCATTCCGCTTTTTCAATGACCCCTTCTTTGAAAAGAAGCCTTGTTTCTTACTTTTCCAGTTAGTTGGTGGTTTGCTCTGATTGGACATGTTAGTTTCTGACATTAAAATCTGATCCAATACATCAAGGCAAGCAAGCAGTTTCAACACATTGACTCTTTCCTGAATATCATTACGGAGATCGCCCTCGAATTTTCTTGCCTTTTTATAGTTGGTATCGACCATATACGGTGCGAACCCGACTAATTTAGTAAACTTTGCTTTGTATTTGGCCACAGTCAGGTTGCCTTGTTTAAGCCCTCAAATTTAGCCACTTTTCTATCATGAGCACATTGCAGGAAGTACTTGTCGTAGAAGATTTCCAAAAATCGTGATCAATCAATACCTTTGTTATTTTCTAAGATTAACATCCACTACCTCCTCACTTCATCTTTAAGTGTAAATGTTGCCAACTGTATATTCTGTGCATCGAGGCACAAAAATACTTCGAATAGCTTTTCTATGACAAGGCCCCAAGCCTCAGCCTTCAATGGATCCACTCTCTCGTGGAATGTCAGTGGTTTCATCTTTTTAAACTCCTTATTCGATCATCATTTTGCAAATCTTGTGCAGGTTGTATAGGAGGTGGAGGCGCCGGTTGTTGCCACTATTGTTGCCATTGCTATTGTAGCCTCAATGTTTCCGCCATGTCCTGAATCAACCTTTCCATTCTATCCAGTTTGGAAGTGGTCCTCTATCTCCTCGGCTCTTGTTCTCACCATTATCTAATGAGACTTGCATTATATTGCCTAGAAAAACCATGTACAAAATATAAACATACAGAAAGAGCACACATATACAGATAGGCAACAGTTCATATAATTCAGGACGCTTAAACATATTCTTAATGCCTTCAATTAGTTATTTAGCAAATGAATGCAATTTAAGTCTTTTCTAGATGCTCTACTGCTCATTTGGACAAGTGTTTGAGTTATTAACTCGTGCTCTAATACCACTCTGTCATGACCCTAACCCGCTCCTATGGATTAGGATAATAATCGGCTAGTAATCATAAGATTACCTACGGCCTCAAACAAAAATCAAATCATGATTAATAATAGGGGGCCAAAAGCGGAAGCAAAATGTAAAGATTATCAAAAGGGCTGTGCATAAATGGCAAGATAGAAACCCTTCACACATATGTAATAACTCACACATTGCATGCATATGTCATTTATACATGTTCGGGATCATTCAGACCTGTTATGTAATAAACCAAAACACTAAAAGCGGTCTTATCAAAAACTAAGGTTTATACAAACTTTGTCACATATGACCACAAAAGAAAACAAAAAGGAAATCAAAAGCCTCATACATGAGCAACCTTGGCTGACTTAAAAAACTCAGTACTTCTTCACATTTACAGTAGCGCTAGGGTTGGACATCTCGCTACTCACCTATATATATATCAATAAAGAGTGAGCTAACGCCCAGTAAATAATATCAGAGTAAAGAGGTTAATGAATGAGATTCGTCTTTAAACAAATCATACTTGTACTTATTACATATGGAATGCAATTCCCATTTATAATGTACTTAAACAAATCTTAACGGAATGACCTCGGATCCAATCTATTATACATAGTACACGAAGAGACAAAACGACCTTAGGTCCAAACATTTTGCATATCCCATCATAACATGTGTACTAAACGACCTCGGGTCCAACATCTCTATATTCTTATGTATGCGCATATTCAGGTTC